AACAAGGTCTAGGTCCTATCCCAATCTGGTAACAAGTTGAAGTATCGATATTTATCCTGAAAATGGTTGGAGAAAGGATCAGCGGAAAGAGTGATTTTTAATATTGACATATTCTATTAAATAACAATGCTAAATTTATATATATATAAATTACATTATATTTTATCATCAAATTTTAAGTTTTGTAAGTTTATATTATAAATTAATAAAATACAATCAAATAAAATTATTGATTTTAATTTAATATATAAGATAATATTAGTAAAATAAATAGATAAATAATATAAAGTTTTAAGTTTATTTAAGTTATTTATATTATAAATAATATTTTTATTAGTAAGTATAACAAAAATAAATAAATACTTTATTTAAAAACACTATATAATTAAATTATACAAATTAAGAAATTTTCAATAATATTTAAATTAATTTTATAAAATTAGTTTATAAATATAATTAAACCTGAATATAATGAATCTGTTTATAATGAAGCTATAATAAAATACTGGTTATAACAAATTTTTGAATTTCGAATTTACTCAAAATTTATTATAAAAAAAGAATTTTATTATATAAATTTTTACTAATTAGCTTAAAGACTTTGTTATATTCAGGTTTGACTATAATATCTTTGTATATTAATAATTTATAAAATAATAATATTAAAAATAAAAAAAATATTTATAAAAAAAAAATATTATTAAATATTGATTTGTTAAATTTAGATTTTTTTTTTAAAATACAAAATTCATATTTTTGATATCCAAATAAATTATGTTTAACAAATTTAATTGGTTTTGTTTTAAATCTGATTCTTATTTGTTTTATAACCATTATGTTTTTTTAAAAAAAACAAATATATAAATTGTTTAATTTTATAAAAAAGAATAAAAAATTGTTTGTTTTATATAAAAGAAAATAAAAAATATTTATTTTTTATAAAATAAATTTTAAAAAATATTTATTTTTTATAAAATAAATTTTAAAAATAGTTTATTTTTTATAAAATAAATTTTAAAAATAGTTTATTTTTTATAAAAAACAATAAAAAAATAGTTTATTTTTATAAAAAACAATAAAAAAATAGTTTGTTTTTATAAATATTTATTTATTTAAACAAAAAATATATTTATTTAACAAAATTTTTTTTTGATATTTTAATATACAGATATGAGTTTTTCTTTGTACTACTATACATATAGCATATTATATATATATATATATGCTATAATCATCAGTAAATTAATCAATAATCAAATTGATATACATATAACTCTTGATAAATGTTTCACCAATTTAATTAATTTTAGTTAAATTAAAATTTAAAAGTATCAAAATTGATATATTTAATGATGTGTATTAATTAAACTATTTTTATATAATGTATATGATTAAATAACAAGATATTTATTGAGAGTTGACTATAAATTAGATAAATAAGTTATATAATAATAATTCATTTTAGAGATATTAATACATATATAGTACATTATTAATTTGATGCATTTTTTCTGGAACTATCCATAATAATTGATAATGTAATTCTAATTCTAAAGTGCAGAGACCATAGGGTTATATATACTGTATATTCAAAGAATTTATGCTGTATTATTGTACATGTTTGTATTTTCTTATCAATTTTTCTGGCACATTTAACTTTCTTAATAGCATTGGACATTCATAATTCATATTTGATGTAATGTATAAATATTATTATAATTATGTTCAAAACTAGATTTTTGTTTAATTTGTATATATTCTTCATAATTTACATCACAGTATTTATTACTGGTACATGAAAATTTCCAATGTTTTTTTATTCCTATATGGTTATAATTTCCCATATTCTTCATTCTTTATTCAGTATATACTAATTGATCACAAGAGAAACATATTGCTATTCCAATTTCAGGAGCATATGAACTGCTATCTGGAAATTGTATTAATTTCCTAGCTTTCTCATCATACCCAATACTTTTGCTTGCGGTTGATTTATTAGATATGGTAATTTTTTTTCATTTAATTTTATTTCACTTTACGAAACGAACAAAAAAACCAATTAATAATGAAATTAAGGATCTTCGAATTATTCAGTTGAAAATTAAATCCGATTAACGGATTAAAGAATTGCTTTAAGCACGATCACACGCAACCTTATCACATCTGAATAAAATATTGGCAAGCAGACCACACAAGGTAAACATTGATTCAATTATCAACAAAATAAATGCATAGCTCGATCATTTTCTATTTACATTTACATCAAGACTAGAACGCCATTGAAAATGAATAAATCAATAAAAGAATAGTTACATCATGTGAACATCATTGGTGGTGGTGGATCCTCATAATCATCATTAAACTGCCTAATCAACTGATCTATAGCCGGTTGTTCTTCTATCCTTACAATACTTTTTGCTATATTTAATCTTCTGCGCATTGACATGTTAAATAATTCTTTTTCGGTCATATCATCGATTAGGTCTGCCATCCTGTCATCAACCTCTTCGGGTATAGGTTCAAGAAATCTTGATTTCTTTTTAAGTGGT